ATTAGCGTGTGGAACCACACCTTTTACTGATTCATGGTCAAAGTCAAACTAAATGAAAGAAAAAGTCATGATCAAACTCCTTAATTTAGCCCTAGAAAAGCCTGAAAATAGAGCTCCATATGTAAATTTTATCTAGAGTAGTAGGCTCCCATTCCCGTCATTCAGGAATCTTCTTTTTTATTTTTTCTGAAACAATAATGCAAGGCAAGAAATGACGTGTCATGAAGAAGGTGGAGGCATGAGACATAGAGATAGAGATTAAACTGCCTGCATTATGCGTGTGGTTTATACAGACTTTTTCAAGGACCGACTGACTTGGAAATAGACCTATCTCTCCAGTCTCTGCAGAGACTTTTTATCTGCATGAGAGAGTGGGTGGTGGAACAGTCAAGGTCCCTAGTCGGGGCAATGGACGTTAACTCTTGAGAAAACATATCGAAAAATAGTGTAGATGCAATTAACCTGATCAACTCTCACTCCTCACTGCCAAAAAATGAGAGAGAAAAAGAGCTCTGAACTACGAATCTAGACCGCATAGCCTGATCCAACTATGACAGTGCCCGTGGAGAAAAAGTTGGATTATCTACCCTTCGGTTTTCTATTTGTATCCAACTAGCCTTGGGACTTGGCTACAAAAATTAATTGTTAAATACTTACATTGTTATACTACGAATTTAAACCGCATGTATAGCAATAACAAACACGATCATTACTGGTTAAAATTCAAGACATAGATAATGTTTTCCGTGAGTTTAAAATACAACTGAGATTGACAAGGCATTTGAACTCTTGAATTGTATGCTATAAGCTCTTTACTTTTCGAATGTGATTCCTCTTGGTTTCTTTTGGATATTGAATTGGTTTCATAGGGCATGTTTGACAGTTTGAGTATGACTGTGTGACATTGACAAGCCGCTGGAGTTCCAGCTGCCTATGGCCCCCCTACTAGATTCCCTCTTTAATTGGCAAAAAACCATAAGCCCATACGTCTCCTTTTCTGCAAGTGCTTTTCCAATACTTCTCTACCAAGCTAAAGCTTATAGCTATGGTACTGGCTAGGGCATATATCTATCAGCAGTACACGTGGTACTATTTCGAAGCTTGATGATAAAACATACTTAGTGTGCCACTGACACGTGGAGGACCAGGGTACGACTACGACTTGATTGTAGCTGTAATGGCCTCCAGCTTGGTCATCATCAGTCAGAGTCAGCATCTCTCGTTAACAACGTACACACATACATACACTCTCCTCCCATATATTCCTCTTATCTCTCCTTATACCGTCCGTCTCTTTGAGCTGTAAATCGACAATAATGGGATGGGAGAACCTATCTATACGTGTGCCAGC